TCTCGATCTTTTCACCCAATTATTTATGATATTCCCTTTCTTCTCTGCCTCCATCTCTTTCTCTCTTTGTTCCTCCTCTCGATCTTTGCCCTCAACGAATAACCACCTAGGACCGACCCAACAGTATGGGAAAAAAAATATGAGCATTAGGTCCTAAATTTTTAGAATGCCCCATAATTTTAGGAACATCACTAGCCCACCAAAAAAAAAAAAATTAAAATCCATTAAATTTTAAGCCCTACAAAAAAGCTCCAAAAAAATAAATTCAATCAAAATTTTTATTGCAATAATTTGGGCCTATAATCTAATCCATAATATTAAAAATTTAGAAATAAAAAATATACTAAAAAGTCAAGTCATATTTACTCTCACCTATTTTCTCTCTCTCTCTCTCTCTCTCCATCCAGTAAAAAAAATAAAAAACAAAAACAAAAGTTAAAATCTCTTTCTTAACAATATTAACACATCATTCTTTTATCTCCTTCTCACATAGAAAATCAAAAATAAATTAATTTTTTTTAAAAAAATACTAAAAATAAAAAGACCTTCATTTAATATTTCTTCTTTACGCCCCAAATTGGCTTAAGCCGCCCTTGTAGCCACCGGCTCCCCTTTCTCTTCTCTCTTCTCTTTTCATCGAAATCTTCTCTCTTTACAGCAACACTATGGAGGCACTATCGGAGGCATAATGATCAACCATCGACAATCTTGAAGTCTAACCCGGGTATCCCTCCCCTCTCTCTCCATCTGTGTATGTCTCCCCTTATCGCAACCACCCCTTCGTTCCCTCTCCCCTCTGCCACCAAAACTCATAACAGTTCACCAAACACCCTATATATCCAAATTCAAACTCTTACCTATAGCCAACCAGCACCTCAACCCCCTTTCTTCCCCAATCCCCACCACTGTCACAGAAACCTCCCTAGCCAACAAACGCCTCCCCCACCCCTACACGCACACATTGTTACCAAAACTCACTACAGTCACTGAAACACTAAGTGTTTGTATTATTGCTTCAATGAGCGGGCTAACATTATCCTTATTTTTTAGCCAACTTACTATGTCTGCTGCAGCGATCATCTATAGCAGGACGACACAACTCCAACGATTAGTAATGACACAACTCCAGCAGGACGATGATCTCTTATAAAAGTGGTTTATTGGTTTGGGTTTGTTATTTTGTTTAGTTTTACATATTTTTAGGTTATTTACAATCTTTTTTTGTATGTTTTAAGATATGAGGACTTAAGATTGGTTCAGGCTAAATGGTCCTTTGTGAACAAGGATAAGTTCATCCATTTCTAGTGTTTGTTTTGTCCAAAAAATTTTGGAAGAACCAAGGAACCCTTTCGATCAAGAGCCAAACCTTTTGTTTTTTTGGCATATTTGAGAATGGTTTGCATAAAAAGAAAGCAAAAATGACAAGAACCACTATGAAGTATATGCACGATATTTAATGAGTTATCCATATTGTTATTCAAGGTTCTTTAGGTTGTAATGTCTATGTTTTTAAATATTATTTTCTTTCTAAAAAATTTCAAATCTTGACTTCAGTTTAATGTTTTGTGCACATTCATAAATATTGCAAGTTATACACTATTCCTACAGTATACTGAAATTTAACTTGATTTGTTGTTAATACGTCTTATAATTCATTTGATTTGTTGCCAATTTAATACATTATTTGGCTTGTATTGTAGTTAAAAATAAGCTCACATTCTCAAAGCAGTACTAGTGGTTACTGAAGTTATGTTTTAGGTTTGGAAGTGATAATGATGGTTCTCTTAGTGGTAATAGTTAATCTCGAAGTTGTGATGGATGGGTGGTGGTGGGATAAAGCTCTTGGGATAAATTTGTGCAACATAAAAATTAACTTAATTGATGAAATTTGGTTTGAATTAAATAGCAAAATTAATTTAAATAGTTGACATGGTTAGATTTAATTTCAATTTGAGCACAAAATTTGATTAATTACCAAAATTTAGGCTATGCGGTAATAATGGTAATTGTGGTATTAGTGATAATAGTTCTGTATAGTTGTATTTTTAGAGAATTTTGCTTGAATTCTTTATGAGACTCAAATTTTATGTATTCAATTTTTAAATTTGATAATGTTAACGTAGTTGGATTTAATCATGGAAATTTGATCAAGACTAGTTTTCATTGATGACATGCTATTCTCCACGAATATGTTTAAGTATGATATATAAAAAACATCTTTACTTGATAAGGTTTGCACATCTTCATATTTTTTTTAGGGTCTTATTTTTAGAGAGAATTTAGCTGTAATTGTTTGAAAGAATAGAAAAAAAAAATTTATATTTAGAGACACGAGCATTCTCTAAACTATCAACATACTATGAGGACAAAATGTGTAATTTAACTAGATAGAGTGTTAAAAATTTAGTTTTAATTGATTTAGACTTTGTTGATGTTGTTTATTATATTTTTTGTTGCAATTAATTTCTTAATCCCCCCTTCCTTGCTTTCTATCCCATATTTATTTAATTGTTTTCATACCACAATGATTTTGAATTTATTACCATTTGGATATCAATCAATAATTAAAAAGTCATTGAAATATATTTGAGATTGTTTTGATTTGTATTCTATCAATTTTTTTGGAAAAAATAATGGGCCCATATTATATTTATCAATGTTTTTCCTTAGTTTTTTTTTATTGACATTTTTATGGCATACAGTCTCTTAATGCATGTGCATTTGCTTTCGATTTTTTTTTTGTTACATTGTGTCTTCAGACACGGGCAATTACTAGTATGAAATAAAATAGAGTTGAGTTTGAATATTGGAGACAAAGAGAGGTCCAGATCGTTCTGAGACAAAATATAAACACATCCAATGGACAACATAATCTCAATATAAAAGACGGTTCTGATCATGTCATAAATACTAATATGACAGTCCTCATACCAAATTTTTTTTAACACTCCTATCGCTCGTCTAACTTTCTCCCCTTATCTTATACTAAAGAGATATAAAGACTGCTACATCTCATCTAACTTTCTTTATCTATCTCATATTCTATCACCCGGTACACTCTCCCTCATCTCTTTTAATTTTTAAAAAGCAACCCAATAACTCTCTCTCTCTTTCTTCTCTCCCTCCTCTCTTCCATTTTCACTCGATGCCCAGCAACCCTCTCTTCCCCCTCTCCGCTTCCCACACTAACACAGACACACAAAACACAACAAACACACGCTGAACACAACAAACACCACCAACACCTTTTTTTTGTTTTGAAAATCACCTCCTGCTCTCACTCTGCCTCTTTTTCTCGCTCTCCTCCCTCACACCCTTCTTTCTCTCTCGCTCTAATGCTAGACATCCACCAGCACCACCAACATCACCAGATCCGGCACCACCACCACTCTTACTCAGGTTAGTCACTCTGTTTCTCTCTCTATCCCTCTAACTCCCTCTCTCCCATTCTTCTATCTCAAAACACCCTAGCCCCAATACACAACACGCGTACACATCGCACACTACTCACACCCCACACCCATCCTCCGGTGAACTCTCTCTTTGTTCTTTCCTTTCCACCAGCGGCTACCATAGCCCCACCCCTTCATAATGCACATGAAGTGTCCATACAACACACACTACACATCTTGAAAACTGAGAAGTAATTCACATCCTACCTCTAGTACATAAATAGCCTCTGAAGTTAGTTCCAATTCAGACACCATTTGATTATTTTTAGGCTTATAAACTTTGATTCGTTTGGACCTAGGTTTATTGGGCAGATTTTTCAATAATTTTTTAGGTAAAAACAGTTTTTATCGGCACAAAAAAAAAGTTAAAAAAATTAGGCCATAGTCTACTCATTTCTCAAAATTAAAATTATCATTAGCGGCATATTCACAAACTACAAGCAAATCCCAATTAAAGTTTTTGTAAGTGAGAAATCATGTTTTTCGTAACCTAATTCTACCTATCGTTTGTTTTTTGAGATTAATATGAATAAAATTTAAATTTTGATATAAACTATCACTGTCATCAAATGTCACCTTCCACTTCCCATCTACCCGGTGGTTTCTTTCTTCCCCTACAATCCCCAACCACCTTGTGATCCCACTCCACTCTTGACTAGGTGTCAGTCTCTTAACTGAGACTAGTTTGAGGACAATATAATAAACTTTAATAACTCCAAACATTTTTTATTTTATGTTTGTTTCACATTAGTGTAAGCCATGGTTTCTTTGACTCTGATCTTAACAAGGATACATGCATGTAAATGTTGTTTTTTATTATTAATTATGCGGCGTATGGGTACGCCTTTTTTTCGGAAAGTGGTATGTAAGTTCAAAGTAAGTGGTTTTAATCGAAGTTGTAATTTGATCCTATCAACTAGAACTCGTTTATTAGCAAGTTTACAATGAGTTGTTTTTGCTTACATGAGATCATTCTTGACTTGTCCACAACTTGGTCAATCCATCCATGTGCAACTCCTCTAAACCTTTAAGGTCATCTAAATAATCTTTACAAATATATAAACGATCCTAGTTCCGATCCATGTGACAAATATTTTTTTTCTCTTCCCGCGTGATACATAATTTTGGACCACTCTTTTCCATAAAAATGTGTAAAACATTTGGAATGTTATAATTTCTTGGACATGTAGAAAAGTGACAAGGAGGGGACCAAAGAGATCATCCATGGAGTCATCTTTCTGCTATCCTATGGAATAGAATTAGAACCTGCCCTCCACGCAAGAGACAGCTCTGGACCAGTGTTATCAGAATCGGACTAGATCGATTGGTCGGACCGGTTCATTCGTGACTCAGGACTTTAACCGCTCCAGTTTTCTAGTTGGATCGCATAAAAAAGAGAACCAGCTAAAAATCAAAAAATCGGCCAATTTTTGTTAAAAATCGTGAATTGGACGATTTAAAGATATAAATGCAAAATTACTTAGATTATAATTTTTTCTTTTATTTGGGCCATTTTTTTGCCCTAAATTGCAAAAGACACCAGCGACCATGACTAGCGACCAAGACCAACTCAAGCGACCAGCGAGAAACTCAGGCGATAGCTTCGGCGATCAGCAAGGAACTCAAGCGACCATCCAGGCTACTATCGCTGCTCAGTTCTCAGGTGCATTCAGGTGGCACCGACGATGAGCAGTAGCTAACAACATCGATCTCTCTCTCCTAATCTCTGTTGTCATCTCCTCCCTTTACCTGCTTTTATTAAACTATAACATTAAGGTAAAATGGCTATGATTACGTCTTTTATTTTTAAAATTTTTTTGGTAAATCATTTGTCCCTTTGAAGCTTGCGGAAGGTTTTGATTGAATTTCAATGTATTATGGTATGATGTGTGATTTTTTGTTTAATTATTTTGTGTTTATTCTGTACATTGTTGGGTGATTATTCTGAAGTGAGGAAGATAGTAATTTTTTCCCCCCATGCCATGAATTGATACCGTAAAAATCGGTGAGGATCGGAAGATAGTGATTTTGAGCATCACAAAATCATTGTATTTTTTTAAAACTTGCTAAGTTTTATTGGGCAATTGAAATGCTCTATTGTTGATATTACTCTGTTACTATTGCATTTTAGATCTAAATTATTATGTTTTATAATTATTATATATATTTTTTATTTTTTATTATATGACCGATCCAACCATTTGACCCATCGATTGAACCATTGAATTTTTGACCCAATCTCATAAATAGTTTGATAACCAATCCAATTCTGAAAACATCGCTTTAGACCGGAGCGAATGGAATTGGAATTAACAAAAACCAACATGGTAAATTTGAAGCCGCCAGTCTCATTCTACGTACCCTACATAACTTGTTAAGACTATAAACCATAATTATTTATTAATTTTGGATAAATATCATGATATCCCCATAACTTTAATACTAATTTCAATTTATCCCTTAAACTTTTTTTTTTTTTGCAGCTATCATGTCTTTGATCCATTTCTTCATTAAAACAATCAAAAAAGTTCGAGACACTTATTCCAATTTGCCCTTAAAATTTTTATATTCGTTTTAACAAGAATTCGATTAGATGGCAAATTGCTAAGATTTTGTAAGATTCGTTATCTTTTTTGTGACTGAAAACCTTAAAGCTCTGTGTTTTTACTTATCTCTAAATTTATAAAAAAGTCATTTTTTGTTTATTATTTTTATTTTTTTTATTTGAAAGATATAAAGTGTATCATTCATATTTTTTATTTCTCTTACTTTCCATCATTTCCATCAAACGAAGCATAATAATAAGCTAAGTCCCATCTATCTTTCTTTGAAGTCCGTATGGATCAAGAGAAATTTCTACAGAAAATAGAGAAATTCAAAAGATCGAACTAAAACTTGCAAAAATCTTGGGGTATATTTGATATTTTATTGTTTAGTTTTGAACGCCTTTATTTGACTGGACCACGACATAAAACTTGAGAAAATCGTTCACGCAAGTAGGACCTTAAAAACAGGGTAATATTGTACCGCAGGCAAGAACTGTTACCACGTGTCAACATTTAAGTGGTCACAACTGCCTAAAAATACCACAAACTTGGAAGAGCGATGTCAGTAAGCAAGGGGAATTCTCTGCTGAGTCATGAATGACCCAACCATCGTTGATGACTCAGCCATCCCAATCTTCTGGCCCTACTCCTGAGAAATTTTTGTACTCTTTTTCAGACGTGGATCATCCATCTAAACCAGTTGCCCAATCAATATCTGCCACGTCATCTTCAAGGTAACAAAAATGTTACTTCATACTATCCACCCTTCACCCTCGTTTCCCTTTATGAACCCCACCAACCCCCATCCTCCATCGTCTGCTTCCAATTCACTTCTCTCTCTCTCTCTCTACAGAACAATACTTGAGAAATTTTATCTAGGAGTTCTCTCTCTGTCTCTGCACATGGAAATTCCAGAAATCAGCATTATAGGCGGTTTTGAAGCTGGAATGAAATACCTGCAAAACCCATCTCTGATTTCTCGATTCTTTTCTCTCTCTGGAATTGATAGAGTGCCTCAAGTGTACAGCTTTTGGCAATTGGGTGCTCTAATTCTTGCTTTTGTCGCCACTTTCACCGGCATAATCAACACAATCAAGCTCTTAATCATCCGGGTCCGTACAGTCAAGCCTTTATTAGCTTCATTTTCAGAACCCCTTTTCCAATTTTCCGACGACGATGAGAACTTCAGTGATGACGAAACAGCGTCATCCGCTTCTTTTGAAGAGGAAGAATACGAATCAACGTCGTCGTCTGATGATGAATTACCGGTTGATGAAGATTTTGGTGTAGCGGGTTCAAGCCTTTACAGTGAAAACCAATCGCTAGGTGGTAAATTTAAGCTCCGGCGGCGGTTTTCTTGGTCCAACTTTGCCGCCGGGAAAAGCGTTGTAAGGCTTTGGGATAGTTTGGGGTTAGGTTTAGATTTTGAAGACTCTTCTAATGGTGTTGTTTCGATATGGGACTTAAATAACGATCAAAAAATAAGCTCATTTTTTAACCGGAGTTGTCAGATTCCGGCCGTAGCAAGGTCAGCACCGGCTATTGTGGTACAAACCCAAGTTGATAGCTGCAGCAACTCTATTATTTTCAGTGCTCATGACACCAGGGTGGGAAGTCATACTCCGGCGATATACGCCAGCTGGCAGTCTCCTGTGACGGAGGTGGTGAGTATGAATTCCGGCGGAGTCGAGAAGGTGTACGTCAGAGGCGACGTCACCGGCGTTTTAACAGTAGGCGACCTGAGGAACGTTAAAACACCGTTAAAAAACGTAACGGAATCTGACGGAGACACCTGGTGGGACGCTGACGCCGTCATTGTTGAGAATGAGTTCGTTGACGATCGGCGGTAAAACGGGTTTACTCGGGTATGTATTGAGACGCGGGGTTGCGGGTTGACTCGGCGTGGTCTGGTCAGAACTTGGAAGGGGTGAAATGGTCAAAAAAAATTGGATGAAATTTACAGGAATGACACTGTAGTTTGTAAATGACTACTTTAATTGTCAATTTATTATGATTTAATTGGATTAGGGTTATCTTAATCTTGTGTTTTTTGATTGCTTAGTTGGAGTTTATAGTGTAACTTGTCGAATAATTCATATCTCGAGAATGATTAGACGAGTAACAATTCAACCATGTTAGTCTAATAAAAGTATAAAAACCGTTAAGATTAATCTCACAAAAAATATATTTTTCTTAAAAAATATCATATTTTTGTACTATTTTTTAGGGATGTTCGTTTTACCTTACGGATAGGAAATATAATCTTTCGTCTTCCTACCCGATACTTCGCGGAAGAATTTTTTCTTATTCTACCTTACCCGATCAGGTGTGGTATTCTTACCCGATTAATCGGATAGGAAGTCGGGTAAACACTTTTGTAGTTATTAATTTTTAGATCATTTTAACAATTCAATTAAATAACATACATCAATTTAACAACACAATAAATCAATAACACTAAAACCTAAAACAACTACAACAACAATTATAATAAAATACAAGAAATCATAAACATCAATCCATTATAATTGTTATACAAATACAATAACAATTTTGTTAAGTTTAAACTATATAAAACACATTAAAATCATAATTGCTCCAATAGATCATTAGTTCACCACAAATCATGTAACTTACACAAAAAATAAGTCAATGTTTTAGCAACTCAAACATCCATAACAATGATAATTTTATAACATAAATTATACCACACAAATACTCTTATAATTACTAAAAAAAATATAAAAAATTAAATATATTTTTGCGGGGTAAGGTAGGGTAGGAATACAGAAATTAATGGGTATTTCGCATTCCTATCCGATTTAATTAGAAGACCAAAAATTCTTCCGCATTCTTATCCAATTTTTGCGGCTAACCGTTCAATTGGATAGGGTAGAGTCAGGTAAAGTAAGAAATTGCAACCTATCAAAAATTTGAACGCCCCTATTATTTTCAATTCACCCTATTTTTTTTTTCTTTGTTCACTTAATTTTAAATTACTTAAATGTTGCTTTCATATGCGATAGTCTAACAGCTTTGCTGTTATCACATTGTCCTAGCCATAATTTGATCAATTATTGAAGATTGTGGGGGTGGTCCGGGCCAATCATATTGTTTGTCGGTGTTTTTTTGTTCGTCGTAATGTGTCTCGGAAAAGAAAATTATTTCGAGTGAGTTTTGAAAATATTTTAAAAGTAAAATAAAAACAAATAAAATTGATAATTAATTTAAAGACATTCTAAAATATTGGTCGAACTATATCGAAGCATCCTAAATCAATTCAAAACATGGGTAAAATAATTTTAATTCAATTAAAAATTCATTGCAATCTCCTTGAAAACATAAAAGTATTGATTTTTCAACTGTTTTGATGCGAAATATGTTTTTGCAATTTTCAACAGCTCGTCACTCTGTTGCAATTTTCCAAAATTGCTAATAAAAAACTTAGATAAAATGTAGAGGAGGGTTTCTGTAAAGAAAGTAAGTCCATTGGTCTCCATAAAAGTCTTTCAATGAATCGAGTTTGAATTCGATTTTAATTGATTTAAATTTGAATTCGAGTTTAAAAGATTGACTTGAGTCCGATCCAAATATTCAACGGATTTTATTTTTGTTACCCAATATTCGAATCCATTAAAAATTCCAAATTCAACCCAAAAATTCAATTGGATTCGCATAATTTACTTTTACTAGGTATTAATAAATTAGTTCTAATTTTCTTTAAATAATTACATAATTTCTTCAATATACATATATAAACATATAAATATTTTAGATTGAGTCATAATCAGATCGGATATTTGTGTATTAAAATTCAAATCCATTAAATATAATATAATATAATGAATTTGGATTCCAATTTAGATTATTATAAAAAATATTAATTTATATCTGATTAATTGCATTCAGATCAAATTCAAATCCAACTTAAAATCAAATTCATTGACAAACCTAAGCCTACTCGACGTGAAAATGGAAACATAAGAAACTTGACTACTTAAAAAAACGTTTTTCACATTCTCCTCGTAAATGTAAACATATGAATTTTTAAGAACTACAAAGTCATTTTTATATAATTTGTTCTGGTCATATCTAACAATGACTTTTAATCATGGTGGGGGTTATGTCATGTGTTGCTTGCTTGTGGAATCTCTCTATTATAAATTACAATATGGTCTTGAAAACGATGGTCATGTCAACGAGTTGAAAACAAAAACTTATTGTTGAACTCAAACTCTCACTTTATGTGATAAGGAGATTTTACACATGATCGTATTTAGATTTTTCATTAAACAAATACTATTGCATATCCCAGAAATTGTGCAGATTTAATATTCGTATTGTAGATGAGTTTAAACAAATATGAATACAGTGATTTTGTGTATCTAATATAACTGGTGTATATATATACTAAAGATAATTCGTGCCTAAAAATACGGTACAATATAAAAAAACGAGTATTAAATTTGGACACAAAACAATCAAACACTGAACTTGGACGTGAACTAAGCTAAAAATCTAAATTGTCCCCGCAATTTGTGCCTAAAATTATGCGGAGTATGCCTCCTTAGTGTACCCCAAGGTACTCTTCCCCGAGCATTGAACGTTCAGGACTAAGTGTCAGGTGTCGACAAGAGAAATTCGAGTGCCCCGGCATAGCCCCGAGCACTTATCCTATCATCTTAGCATTAAAGATACAAAGATCTGAGTGGAGAACACTCATTGCGCGTGGATAAGAGTGTCAGATATTAAATGTTCAAATGGAACTTTAAGTCTTTGCACTCATTATTAATCCAGGTATAAATGCTACTCAAAAAAATGAACTAAGATACGCAACACAAAACTGAGATAGAGAATATACTCTCCAATCTTATACTGACTTAAATTTTGAGAATAAGCCAGGTGCTCACCCGACCCTTTTTTTCACCCTGTGGTTATTTTAGGTTCACCATACAAAAGATTGTTGTCTCAATCTGTTGCAGGAAATCTCCTGTGTAGGAATTTCTAGATTTTAATGTGGTTGTCTGCCTCAGCAAATTCATTTGAGTTATTAAAGTGAAAATATGTTAGAGTGACCACATAATAGATGCAAAGACCTAGTTGACATTTGGCACCATTCCTCCAGTGTATCGCAAGGCGTATTTCTCTCTTACATGGTAGTTGATTAGTTGTTGTTGACAAGAAGAAAAAAAAAGATTTGAATTTGTTTTTTTAGTTTAATAGTAACAGAAACAAAAGGAATATGTGAAAAACAATTACTACTGAATACAAAGTTGAGAGCAAGTGAAACCTTGTCATATTTAGGGTTGTCAAATGTGGCTCTCAAATTTCCCGAGTGAAAGAAAACCCCTGTTTAGGCTGCCCCTATCTTCTGATTCGCCCGACATCCTTTTCTTAGCAAAAACAGAAATCGGAGTCGGTTTCAGTAAATTACATACCTCTAGTTATTCTCTACCAACTTCTTTCATCGCTGAGAATTCCATATGAAAATAGCTTTCCTTCTCCAATTTAGGTTGTCTTTGACATGTTGCCATTTTCCTAATAACAAAAGAAACTTTTAATAAGAAAGAGATACATCAATATTCACTTCAGAATATGATAGAATCCTTCCCTGCTTCGAGACTGAAAATAGAGCAAAAAGAATAGCCTATTTTGTGGCTGTTAAATCTAGCAATATTGTGTGAAACTCATTGGTACCAGGGATATCCTTGAGAGCAAGAACATATGTTGCTCACAGTCCATAAATCCCCATTGTTGCCGCGGCTTGGTCTCTTCATGTTATTCCAGTTAGCATCTCCCGACCACACCCCAAAGATGGTGCCCACAGCATAATTTGTATCAACAAAAGGCAACACTGAATCCTCCTATGCACATTCAATAATCAAAAAGGTTCATGAGCATCTTTCAGATATCTTTCTCAAGGATGTAAATACCCAACCACAATTATTGCAACATGCAAACTTTTAGCCAGGCCTCCCATATCTTGGAGTTCTGGTACTTCCTCAGAGCAAGCATATTTGCAGCAAGTGTGAGTAAGTCAATGCCTAAGTAGAGTTCGAAATCAAATTCAGTAAGAAAAAATGAACATTCTTGTCATATTTTTGGATTCTTATTTTATGTTTAGCTTCAAGAGGTAATTTGTATACTTGTTCTACAAAAGACAGAAATAAATCAAAAACTATCACAAATTCCAAAAGTCATATATCCCATTCTTATAGCAATTATGGTCGATTTCGTAAGACAAAAACCAAACAGGTGGAGTAATAGCAATTACCAAGTCCGATCATCAAACCAATTCCAGAAGTCATATATCCCATTCTTTGTAAGAAGCTGAAATCAAAATTAACAATCTTGTCACCATCAACTTACTTTCGTTAACATACTAAATAGATACATAAATGGACATGTTCAAAAGAAAAGTACTTAGAATACAAAATGCTAGCTTCCAATTTATGGTAGAAGCTTCAATTTCAGGCCATGCTTATCAAAGTTTTATCTCAACTCACATGAATCAAAACTTCTTGAAACCCATCAAAACCAATCTACATGAAGACCAACCAAACCCCAGATCATACCCACCCATCAAAACCAACAGAAACCAGACCACAACCCACCCTCTCACCTCAAACAACAAACCCTTTTCAGCTTCAAAGTCAAATATAAAATTCTTTCAAAGTCTGCAAAATCACACACAATCCCTTATTAAAAAGCCAATCGAATAACTAAATAAACCAATCATGTAATCCCACAAACAAAAGCAAATACTCAATTAGACTGAAAATGAATCATTTATGTAATAAATGATTTATTTTTCATATAGGTAATACTTGTTAATCATTTATATAAAATGGAGATGTAATCATTTATGCTGACAACAAAGAAATGTTATTAACATTGTGGAAATTGAACTTATTTACATAATTTATCCATACAATTAAAGTAAAACCCACAACCATTTGGCCAAACAAACTAAATGAAAACTCATAATTCGTATAAGTTGAGTTGTAGATTACCAATTAAAGTTGTAGATTACTAAACAAAATATCAACAACTATTTATAGGCAGACGTAGATAGCGAACTGTAAAAAAAAAAAATGGTAGGGCAAGTAAGTAACAATCATGTCTCCAGTAAGTTTGTTGAGTAAAAGTATATTAAGCATATGAATGTAAAAGACCCTTCATGTGAATGAATAAACGTTATTTACCCATATGAAATCGTATACTACTCCAATCGTCCGAGCTGTGTGTGTCTGTTAATTAACGTGTTCCAGGGAAAGCAAAGTTTGAATTGGTGTATAAAATATCATGGAGCAAAGAACTCGGTGGTGATTGGGGCATTTTGACGAACACTTCATGTGCAGAGAGAGATAGAGAAATAGAGTGAGCAGGTGGTGGGAGAAACAGAAAGAGGGGAGGGGAGGGGAAGAAGGATGGAGGGATTACCTAGCAGTGGCAGTCGTTGTGGTTGTAGAACTCGGTGGATGTGAAGAACTCGGTGGCTGTGAAGAACGTTTGAACTCAAAGACGAAGGCATGGATTTGGGGAAGTGACCTCCTGTCTTCGGCATGAATTTGGGGAAGTGATTGCACAGTCGCTGCCTGACGATGGTAGAGTGGTAGAGTGTGTGAGAGAGAAGAGACTGAGATGAGAGAGAGATAGAGAGTGAGACCGCCTGTCTTCCACATGAATTTGGGGAAGTGATTGCACAGTCGCCGCGTGACAATGGTAGAGTGGTAGAGTGTGTGAGAGAGAGAAGAGACTGAGATGCGAGGGAGCCGCTGGGTTGGGTTGGGTGGGATGGTCGGGTTGGATTAGGTTCGATCGGATGGTTTTGGAAGGATAACATGTTGGGTGTAAGATTCAATTTTTATTCTGTTTTATATTTTATATATATATATATATATATATGGAGAGAGAGAGATGGTTGTTATCCATCTCTAATTGATGTTGAAATGTTCAAGTCTTTTAATTTAAGTGGGAAAGAAAATGTGGGTGTCACACTTGATTGCGAAGTGTTCATTAAAAAATTAGGCATATTACTATCTTTGAATAAGTATTAGAGACATGGTTGTTACACCTAATAAGATCGAGAAATAATTAAATTTGAGGCTAGGCTGACCCCACATCTTTAAAATCGATAAGTAATTAACATCCTACCTCTAGTACATAAATAGCCTCTGAAGTTAGGTCCAATTCAGATACCATTTGACTATTTTTAGGCTTATAAATTCGCAGCTTTATAAACTTAACTTGTAAAAGGTGTGTTATTTTGTCATCAATATATTGGGCTTGTTTGTAATTTGCTTAAAACCTCAGTTTTTTTTTTATTTAGATGAAGAGAAGCTTGATTTGTTTGGACCAAGGTTTCTGGGGCAGATTTTTTTTTCAATTTTTTTGGATAAAAACAGCTTTTATTAGCAAAAAAAAAAAAAAGATAAAATTTGTAAGTCTGTACAAAAATTTGGATTTAATTGAACTAAATTATATTAAAGAAACTTAATTGGCCTTAAGTATATTTTTTTTTAAAAAAAAAGATTAAAAAGTCATTTATTACTCTATTACTCTCTCTTTTCTCTACTTTTTCTCTAACTATCTATCTTTCTCTCTGTTACTCTCTTTGTCTGTCCCCTATTTTTCTTTTTTTTTTCTCTCTCTCCCATTGATAATTTTTTTTTTCAAATATGTAAAGATTGGATTTAATTTTTTTTTAGCTTTCTCCCCTATTTTCTATAATCCTTACTATTTCTCTTCTGATTCTCTCTCATTATATCAACGTTACAACAACACAATTACATCAATCAATTACAACAATTAGTTATAATTACCCTATAACACACCAAATAAGTACTTATGTGTTCTAATAAATCAAACAGTTACACTAAACAATTACACAAAATTACAACATCAATTCAATTTATCATTTAGTTGTTTACATAAACCATAGAGTTACACCATTTAATATTATGATATGGTTACACCAATTATATACACTAAAATTGAGTTTATCATTACACAAAAAGGTTTACCATTATACCAAATTTTGTGTAAATAATTAGTGTAACTATGTCGTAATATTAAATGATGCAACTATTTAGTTTATGTAAACAACTAAATAAAAAATTTTGTTGGTATCATAATTTTGTGTAATTGTTTGATATAACTGATTAGTTTTATTGAAACCCATGAATAATTGTTTAGTGTATTATAGGAGAATTGTAACTGATTGTCATAACTGATTAGTATAATTATGTTGTTGTAATGTTAATATAAAGAGAAAAAGAAAATAAGAAGAGAGGAAAGGGTAACGGTGAAAGAAAATAAATGGAGAGAGAGATGAAAAAATCAAATCAAATTTTTACATAATTGAAAAAAAATAAATTATCAGTAGGTGATAGAAAGAGAAAATAAGGGAGAGATAGAAAGGGTAATAGATAGAGAGAGGGGAGAAAAAATAGGGGAGAGATAGTAAGAGAGTGAGGGGGGGGGAGAGAGCATGGAGAGAAAATAGGGGGAGAGAAAGAGTGAAAGAATAAGAACTAAGCACAATTTAAGAAAGGGTGAGTAAGTAAAAAATTTCAAATGTCATTTGAATTTTATACCAAATCAAGAGATATTTTATTAAAATTGAATTTAATAAAGTAAAATAATTATCCATACACTTCCTCTCAAATAAGTTAAAAAATAATTTACCCACACCCAAAAGAACCCCAAAAATGTTGAAAATTTGGGTTATCCAAGGATTTCTAAAGAAAAATTGGCTTTTTCAAAAAATACTCCAAACAGTTCCAATAACTTTTTTAACTCTGAATTTTATAATTCATTTTTCAAATTTCTGTTACGAACCCAAAAAAACATGCTCCAAACGAGCCCATTTTATCTTGTTGGAAACTCCATATGAGTGGTCTTGTGCACAACCGATCCCAAGCTCAGATGAGAGAGCAAGGTTGCATATAAAGTAATTGAATCTAATATTATAAATTCTCATTGAAAATTCAAATTTAATTCATTGACAAGTCTAGTCCATGTAAAAATAAAACCTAAGAAACTTTAACAGCTGAAAGAAACGTTTTTCACATTCTCCTCGTGAATGTAAACATATGAATTTTGACGAACTACAAAGTTGTTTTTATATAATTTGTCCTGGTCATATCTAATATTGATTTTGAATCATGGAGGTTGGTTATGTCATGTGTTGCTTGCTCGTGGAATCTCTCTAATATGAATTATAATATGGTCTTGGAAATTGTGGTCCGTTAATCTACTAGTTGAAAACAAAAAATTAATGTTGAACTCAACCCGTCACATTACAAACTTAAAAAATATTCAAATGTCAACTCATATTTACTCTCATCGACTCTCTCTCTCTCTCTCCGGTAAAAAATTAAAAATAAAAACAAAAGTTTCAATTAAACACTCTCTCTTTCTCTCTGTGATAAAAAACAAAAACAAAAAGTGAAAACTTCTTTTTCGACAACATTAACGTGTCTTGTTTTTCGTCTCCCTCTCACATAGAAAATTAAAAATAAATTATTTATTTTTAAAATAATACTAAAAATAAAAAGACATCTACTTAAATATTTCTGCTTTAAATTTTAAATTGGCTTGAGCCGCCTCTGGTATCTAGTATAGCCGATATATGTATAGGGAGGGAGGGAGAGAGAGAGAGAGAGAGAAGGGGGGGTTGTCATAAATCTCTAATTGATGTTGAAAACTGATAAGTAATTAACATCCTACCTCTAGTACATAAATAACCTCTGAAGTTAGTTCCAATTCAGACACTATTTGATTATTTTTAGGCTTATAAACTTAGACTCGTTTGGATCTAAGTTTATTGGATGGATTTTTCATTAAATTTTTAGGTAAAAACTGTTTTTATCAGCACAAAAAAAAAATTGAAAAATTAGGCCATAGTCTACTCATTTCTCAAAATTAAAATTATCATTAGCGGCATATTCACAAACTACAAGCAAATCCCAATTAAAGTTTTTGTAAGTGAGAAATCATGTTTTTCGTAACCTAATTCTACCTATCGTTTGTTTTTTGAGATTAACATGAATAAAATTTAAATTTTGATATAAACTATCACTATCATCAAATGTCACCTTCCACTTCCCATCTACCCGGTGGTTTCTTTCTTCCCCTACAATCCTCAACCACCTTGTGATCCCACTCCACTCTTGACTAGGTGTCAGTCTCTTAACTGAGACTAGTTTGAGGACAATATAATAAACTTTAATAACTCCAAACATTTTTTATTTTATGTTTGTTTCACATTAGTGTAAGCCATGGTTTCTTTGACTCTGATCTTAACAAGGATAGATGCATGTAAATAATGTTTTTTATTATTAATTATGCGGCGTATGGGGACGCCTTTTTTTCGGAAAGTGGTATATAAGTTCAAAGTAAGTGGTTTTAATCGAAGTTGTAATTTGATCCTATCAACTAGAACTCGTTTATTAGCAAGTTTACAATGAGTTGTTTTTGCTTACATGAGATCATTCGCATAAAAAAGAGTAAAAAAGAGAACTTCTTATGTGTTTTATTGTACAGATTTTTCTATTTGTGTATATATGCATTTATATATCACTCTATATCAACTATATATACATGTCATTAATTTTATTAGAGTTTTTCGCACTTTATATCTTGAAAGATTTCAAAATTTTTACTTTCAACTCCTAAAGATTAAATCTCTCAAATTTCACCCCTAATATATCAAAAGTGTGGTAACATAACCCTTCTGTTAGGTTTCGTTATTTTTTTTTGTCAAAAATCAATCCGTTGACATTGATGAAAAAACTAATAGAAAGCTAACAAAACGGTTACATTACAATACTTTTGATATATTTAGGGTGCAATGTGAAAAATTTAATCTTTAAGAATATAGAGTAAAAAATTTAAAAAATTTCAGGGGCAAAGTACAATTCATCCATTTTATTAGGATACACCACATTGCTGGTTTTTTTTTTTTTATATAATTGATGGTTCAATGTGACAATTTTAATCTTTGAGTAATACTATTTGAATTTAAAATTTTGATCTAATTTGTTGACATAATGATGTGGTTTTAGTAGAACCATTGGATCAACACCAAGTTCCAATGTTTGATAGACTCTATAGTTAATCCAAAAATCATAGTGAATTAGGTCAACAAATTAAATCAATAAATTAGGTCTCAATAGCTTTGCTCTTAATCTTTTAGAGTATAAATTGAGAATTTGAAAATTTTTCACAATACAAAATGTCATTTGCCTTTTATTAGTTCAAATACGAGTTATTGTTTAGCCAATTTTAGGTTGGAGTGTGTTGATTACTTAATTTATGATATTTCAAGAAAGTTATATAAAATTGGAACTGCATGTGTCAAAAAATCAAAGTGTTAGAACGTTTTTTCGTTACCAATTTAGATTAATAATCAATAAATGGTAAGAGGCTAATCGCGGCAACGGTCTGCCTCTTGTTTTTTTCAACGGCGCTGCATGAAAATTTTTAAATTTTTTACTCTATATTCTTAAAGATTAAATTTTTCACATTGCACCCTAAATATATCAAAAGTATTGTAATGTAACCGTTTTGTTAGCTTTCTATTAGTTTTTTCATCAATGTCAACGGATTGATTTTTGACAAAAAAAAATAACGAAACCTAACAGAAGGGTTATGTTACCACACTTTTGATATATTAGGGGTGAAATTTGAGAGATTTAATCTTTAGGAGTTGAAAGTAAAAATTTTGAAATCTTTCAAGATATAAAGTGCGAAAAACTCTAATAAAATTAATGACATGTATATATAGTTGATATAGAGTGATATATAAATGCATATATACACAAATAGAAAAATCTGTACAATAAAACACATAAGAAGTTGAATTTTATTTCCTATGAGTCGGACCGGTTCATTCGTGACTCAGGACTTTAACCGGTCCAGTTCTCTAGTTGGATCGCATAAAAAAAAGAACCAGCTAAAAATCAAAAAATCGACCAATTTTTGTTAAAAATCGTGAATTGGACGGTTTTTAAAAATCGGACAGTTTGAAGATATAAATGCAAAATTACTTAGATTAGAATTTTTTTTTTATTTGGGCCATTTTTTTGCCCTAAATCACAGAAGACACTAGCGACCATGACTAGCGACCAGCGAGGAACTCAGGCGACAGCTCCGACGATTAGCAAGAAACTCAAGCGACCATCACGGCTATTGTCGCTGTTCAGTTCTCAGGCACACTCAGGCGGCACTCAGGCAACCTATCCGACGATGAGCAATAGCTAACAACATCGATCTCTCTCTCCTAACCTCTGTTGTCATCTCCTCCTTTTACTTGCTTTTATTAAACTATAACATTAAGGTAAAATGGTTGTGATTACATCTTTTATTTTTTAATTTTTTTTGGTAAATCATTTGTCTCTTTTAACCTTGCGGATGGTTATGATTGAATTTCAGTGTATTATGGTATGATGTGTGATGTTTATTTAATTATTTTGTGTTTATTCTGCACATTGTTTGGTGATTATTCTGAAATGAGAAAGGTCGTAATTTTTTGTCCCCCATGCCATGAATTGATACCGTAAAAATCAGTGAGGATTGGAAGATAGTGATTTTGAGCATTACAAAATTAATTTATTTTTTTAAGACTTGTTTAGTTTTATTAGGCAATTGAAATGCTTTATTATTGATGTTACTGTGTTACTATTGCATTTTAGATCTAAATTATTATGTTTTATAATTATTATATATTTTTTTATTTTTTTATTATATGATTGATCGAACCAGTTGATCCACCGATTAAATCACTGAATCTTTGACCCAATTCCCGTTCGATGACAGATTTGATTCTGATAACATCGCCTTTAGACCAGAGGGGATGGAATGGAATTAACAAAAACCAACGTGGTAAATTTGAAGTCGCCAGTCTTATTCTACGTACCCTACATAACTTGTGTAGACTATCAACCAAAACTGTTTATGAATTTTGGATAAATATCATTCATATCCCGATAACTTTAATGCTTATTTCAATTTATCCCTTAAACTTTTTTTTTTTTTTTTTTTTTGCAGCTATCAGTGTGTTTGATCCATTTCTTCATTAAAACAATCAAAAAAGTTCAAGACACATATTCCAATTTGCCCTCTAAATTTTTATATTTGTTTGAACAAAAATTCGATTAGATAGCTAATAGTTAAGATTTTATAGGATTCCTTATCTATTTTGCGGCTGAGAAGCTCAAAGCTCTGCATTTTTACTCATTTCTAAATTTATAAAAAAGTCATTTTTTGTGTATTATTTTTACTTTCTTTCTTTAGAGGACAGAAAATGTATAATTCATATTTTTTATCTCTCTTAGTTTTCATCATTTTCATCAAACGAAGCATAATAATAAGCTAAGTCCCATCTATCTTTCTTCGAAGTCAGTACATAGCAAGAGAAATTTCTACAGAAAATAGAGAAATTCAAAAGACCAAACTAAAACTTGCAAAAATCTTGGGGTATATTTGATAATTTTTTTGTTTAGTTTTGAACGCTGTTATTTGACTGGACCACAACATAAAACTTTAGAAAATCGTTCATGCAAGTAGGACCTTAAAAAAAAGGTCATATTGTGCCGCATGCAAGAACCGTTCCACGTGTCAACATTTAAGTGGTCACAAGAGCCAAAATTTTTCAACCACCACAAGCTTGGAAATGTCCGTAGACAAAGAGAATTCGCTGCTGAGTCATGCATGACCCAACCATCGCTGATGACTCGGGCATCCCAATCTTCTGGCCCTACTGCTGAGAAATTTTTGTACTCTCTTTCTGACGTGGATCTTCCATCTATACCAGTAGCCCAATCAATATCTGCCACGTCATCGTCAAGTAACAAAAATGTTATTTTATCCCTGTTAAACTGAATAAATTTTGGGTCCATGACAGTTGAATTTCTTTGATCCGTGTCATGTCATTTGAGTACTAATAAAAACTTCAAATAATCAATTCTTACGTCATTTAAACTTTAAATTTAATTCTAAAATTTAATCAATCAACCGTTCCTCTATTTTATTATCCACCCTTCACCCTCCTCTCCCTTTATAAACCCCACAACTACCCTTCTCCACCGTCTGCTTCCAACTCCCTTCTCTCTCTCTCCAGAACAATACTTGAGAAATTTTATCTAGAAGTTCTTCTCTCTCTCTCTCTGCACATGGAAATTCCAGAAATCAGCATTATAGGCGGTTTTGAAGCTGGAATGAAATACCTGCAAAACCCATCTCTGATTTCTCGATTCTTTTCTCTCTCTGGAATTGATAGAGTGCCTCAAGTGTACAGCTTTTGGAAATGGGGTGCTCTAATTCTTGCTTTTGTCGCCACTTTCAGCGGCATAATCAACACAATCAAGCTCTTAATCATCCGGTCCGTACCGTCAAGCCTTTATTAGCTTCATTTTCAGAACCCCTTTTCCAATTTTCCGACGACGATGAGAACTTCAGTGATGACGAAACAGCGTCATCCGCTTCTTTTGAAGACGAAGAATACGAGTCAACGTCGTCGTCTGATGATGAATTACCGGTTGATGAAAATTTTGGTGTAGCGGGTTCAAGCCTTTACAGTGAAAACCCATCCCTAGGTGGTAAATTTAAGCTCCGGCGGCGGTTTTCTTGGTCCACTTTGCCGCCGGGAAAAGCGTTGTAAGGCTTTGGGATAGTTTGGGTTTAGGTTAGATTTTGAAGACTCTTCTAATGGTGTTGTTTCGATATGGGACTTAAATAACGATCAAAATATAAGCACATTTTTTAGCCGGAGTTGTCAGATTCCGGCCGTAGCAAGGCCAGCACCGCGGGTGGTGTACAAACCCAAGTTGATAGCAGCAGCAACTCTATTATTTTCAGTGCTCATGACACCAGGGTGGGAAGTCAGACTCCGTCGATATACGCCAGCTGGCAGTCGCCGGTGACGGAGGTGGTGAGTATGAATTCCGGCGGAGTCGAGAAGGTGTACATCAGAGAGACGGCGTCACAGGCGTTTTAACAGTAGGCGACATGAGGAACGTTAAAACACCGTTAAAAA